ATTAATTACAATTGTTTATGTCTTAAAAAGTACTTCTACGGAAATTTTATGTGATGACAATTTGAGATTTATGAATGTGTTACAGTTTTTTCATCTAGGTTTGTATTTTTATTTATGTTCTTTACTAGTTTGTAATACACATACATAGTTGGATCAGTGTCAGGTTGTAAATACATGCTTGGCCGTGGCATTGCGTTATAAACATCTGGCAATACGTTTAACCTTCAAACCTTCAGAAATATAGCATAATTCTTAGAATTTCTCAAATTTATTTTGTAAAAATGTTGAGCGACACATCTTTCCGTTGCTTGTTCGTCGAAACGTTATTCTCTACACACATTTACTGTTTCCCTAGTCGAGACATGCCGTTGATTCTTAAAATTGTTTGTTTCGTGAAATTTAGATTAAAAAAATTAAAAAATTGAACAGGAGACCTCTTTTAAAAGTTTTCAGTAAAGTGGCCAAACTTTGTTTTATACTATAAAAAAGTAATACGCTTACTACTAATAAAATATTAATTTATATGTATATGATTAGGAAAAATTATAGTAGATTAAATGTCTAACAAACATTGTAAGATAAGTTATGCTCTAATGGAAAAAACTGTGGTTTATACTTTTTACTGTTACGGGTATTATAGTAGTTTTTCGAAATTTTACGTTATTTTAATGTATTTGTAAAGATAATACATGTAAATCGTATTTAAGTAATGCAATAAAGTACTCTGTTTATTATGTCTAAAAGAGCTAAACATGTAAATAAACAGTCTCATAATGAGATTTAAATAGCCTTCTATATGCAAATAACGAACGTATAAAGTATATGGTGTTGCATAAATACCAAACTCAAATAAATCAGTTTTAGTTTGTGTTTATTTAGAGAAAGTGAAAAAATATTTTATATAAAGCTTCAATCCTTCCGGATTGTTATCAAAATTTAATGTAAAAAAATAAATAAAAAATGCAATAAAAGTACGAAATAAAAGACATACTGCGTCTATTACTTTTCGTATCTTGAATCAACTTTGCTTTTATTTTTACTGCTTTTGAACTGTTCGCTGTTGATAACATAAATTTATCACTTATGAGAACGTGGTTTAATTATGCCAAAATTTTCGAAGATGTTGTTTGTCGAATTCGTAGTTTGCGTTGTTCGAGAGTAATAAAAAGTCTACTCAATGTCAAAAAAATGGTTGTTGGGGGAGGGACGAGTTCGCGCTCTATACTTTAATTTGAAACCTTCATAAATTTTTGTATAAAAAATTTTACTTGTGTGTTTTTTGAGTTGTATAATAATCTTTTTGTTGATTGTAATTTTACTAGACCAAAAACGTCAAAATTTATAACCGTTTGCAAGCAAATATAATTTTATTTATTAAAAAAAATAAAACTTTACAGTTGGGTCATTTTTAATCTTTACAAAACAAGAACATTAAAATTACAATAACTCTTTATTATTTTTTCAATACTTCGAATAAAAAACACAAGGATTCTCTATTATTTTTTTGATTTGAGAAAACCCCTTGAGAATTTCCTATATATCTGTTTAAAGTTGTAGCAGCTTGTAAAAACTCACTTCTTCCAAATTCATAACATTTTGGAGAAATGTATGTACTTCCAGGGAATTCAATGACGTACTATAACTTATCTTGGGTTTTTTAGGGAATAATTATAAATTTGCTCAATTAAAAAAACAGCCCTTTGTCCTTGCATCTGACTCAGTTTTCACTACACAATGTTGATCTTTACTTTAATTGTCAATTTTTTGCAGTTTTTTTTTTTCAAGTTTATTTTCGTACAGATTATTCAACTTTTGAAATCTTATATTTGCTTCCTGCAACTTTTTTTCTAAATTTTGAATTTTATCTAGTAAGACAATTTTTTCTTCCGAACTATTGCATCTGGAACATTTTTTAAATGAAAATCATTTTTGTCAAAGGATGGAACTGCATTTGGTAACAATTTTTTTTTTATAATAAGCTCGTTATTTCAAAATGGTTTTCACAAATCAAGGAATTTGGGGTTATATTGCCGATGGTACAAATATTCTCTTAAGCCATTCGTTTTTTTTTTGATTTCTACTTTTTGGAAATTGATGTAGAATAACATCTTTTTTCTCTTTGTCCACAGTTTCGAACACAACAAGTTTGGATACCTACCTGCAGGGGCGGACTGGCAAATTTTTATATGGAATGCTAAGTTGAAATGAGGGCCCAATATACAATACAATAAAAATGTGTATAGAAACTACTTGTCACTTAATGTAGTAATTTTTTTGAAGGAGTTTGTTTCCTCTATTGAGATTGTGACGTCAGTTGAAATCATGATGGTATAATGAACGAAAATGAAGTTCTTAGATGAACGTCTTCAGAGGCTGCTTGTAATTTTCATTTTTGTTTTTCTTTTCGTTTCTGTGCACCAAATTTATACTTATATTTAGATTTTTCTATTATTTATGCCCACTAATAATAAAAAAAATAAAATAAAATTAAATTAATATAAGTAAAAACGATATTTTATATCGGTTGATTAAAAAACGTGTGGCATAATTTTAATTACGAATACCCCTCTACAATTGAGAATAGATAGTACAGTATTTATTGACCCACCTCATAGATAGTACAGTATTTATTGACCCACCTCAAAAAATTGAAAAATTACAACTTTCCAAAAATAGGTATGAAAAAATGATTTTCTGGAAATATTTTTTTTACTGTTTATCCCATTATTATTAAATTTTGCATGTTAAAGGACAAAAAGACACTTTTTGATTTGGTGTAAACGGAAGTCTTGTAGAAGCTATACATTTCCGGTAGTAATGGGTTCTCCCAGTTTTGGGATCATAACTTTTTTTCGGCTTATTAATTTCTGTTTTTGATACAGCCCAATCATTTTTTTCTTATAAAAAAGGTAGTTTCATACCGCTAAAATGTACCGTTCTTGAGTTATTTGAGTTTAAACTAAATTCTACACCGCGCTGTAAAATCAGAATTTATAAATTTTGAGCGTACCTTGGAAACAATCCACTACGAATGACATCGCGGTCAATGCTGTCATATTTAATGTAAATTTCATTAAATCCAAAGGAACATTTGTTTATTTCTTGATGATTATAAAAGCTGTTTTGTTTCTATTGCTTGATGATTTGGATTAATAAATACTGTGCTATCTATTCTCATTTGTAGAGGAGTATTCGTGACTAAAATTATGACACAATTTTTTGAATCACTTGTATAAATCCACGCGGAATTTCCTTACATGCGTGTAAGACCCTACAAACACAATTGAGCTAAAATGATTGAAATTATAGTTTTATTTGTTATGATGGCAATTTTTTAATTCCTTCAAAGTAAAAAAAAAAACGCGGTCCAACACTTCATAGATTAGTTCTATGCATTGTGGAAAGTTTATTTATAAATTTAAAATTATTGATATTATTTCAATGAGCTCTTGACATAATAAGCCTACCATAATTGGGGGCCCGTAAGACTCGATGAGGGCCCGGGGTGCTCTGGCACCCCTGGCTAGTCCGCCCCTGCCGTGACATTTTAAGAATTATAATGTAAAGTCTGAAACAATAATACCTACTATTGATACTGTGCTTCTTAAGCTGAAAAAATAGATTGGTTGTGTGACAGATCAATATTTGTTTAAATAGTTTAAATACAGGATGTCGGGAAAGTCGGAAATTCTATCTGTAGAAAAATTTTGACATTTATTTTTTGACATTTGACATTTTTTTATATCCATTTAATGATATTGATGATCTTGTAAAGTCTGTTTTTTGTTAAATGGAAATGCCAAACAGTCTTAACGTTGGCATCACTGTAAATTCATTCATGGTAATTTTAATAAAGGAAGTTGGCAGTTCCGGTTTTTTGAATTAATTTGAAAACAATGTCAATAAACGTCAACACAAAAAATCGTCTAGGAAAATTTAGAGACGAAACACCAAAAAAGTAACAAATTCGATACACTAATAGTTTTTCAAAATTTAGAAACGAATAGTTCGCAAGCAGGAAGTTGCAAAAAGGGCCCGTTAAAATGTAGATGCAATTTGTAATGCAGGTTTGCTAAACATTCTTAATTTTTAGCAAAAAAATTGACAAGAATAGAAAATAAACATGAATGAGAAAGAACCTCGGAAAAAACGCAGTTAAATTAGTGTCTTGTGCATCGTTTTTGAGGAACGAGTTGAAAAAGTAACAATTTTGAGACAAAAGCTGAAGAAGAATTTATAAAATACATCAAATTTGAGCTCATTTCAATAAATTACACAAAATTTATTGCCAATGATCATAATACCCACTTGTATCTTTTGCAAATTAACTTTTTTCTGTATATACATCCTTTTTCTTCAAAGTTTTTGTAGTAAGAATCTCATTTTTGTCCACAACATTGTACTTAGTTGCGATGTGTTTCTGTCAAAATTGTTAGCACTGAATTCTGTCTTTAGACCTTAGGTAATGATGTCTGTGCTCAGGTATTTTAATTATAGCGCTTTTAAAGAGGAAACCAACACACAAGATTCATAAAAGTCAAAATTTTGACAACATCTCAATTTGAACACATAACCATAATTTTTTAACAACATTTCTAGGAACAAAAACAAAGAGCAAACAAAATTTGTGGCTATGGAGACAAGCTGCTACCAATTTTTCACCAAAATTTTGACTTGGTTATTTAAAAAAAACAGACTTCGAAATTTTTATAGATAGAATTTTTTCAACATTTATCTTACTGTCCAGGGCATCACCCGATGACACAGTGTCATGGAGGTGCGCGGGCACCTGTATGTCAACAATTGTCACATTTAATTTCCTGCAAATTTTCAAATTTCACTAATTACAGTTTCCTTTGGAGCATGACGCGCGCATTACCATTTTGACAAGTTCACGATTTTGGCCTTTTGGGTAGACTTTTTATTAGACGGTCTAATTTCGACTTTCTGCTTAGAATAATCGACATGGCTTTGTTGTCAGAAAACTGTTCAATTTTCATATGTTTTTAAGTTTGTTATATTTCTAAACGTCATTAACAATTCGTCGTTACATTCGGTGTTGAAATGTCTTTGTTCTCGGTTTCGGTTTCAAGATAGTGCCGTATTAACATGAGTTTCGCATTAGTCGTGAGGTATGTGTAAACAAGTGTAAATGTGATGACTTTACAAGGTGTCAAGCGAAAAGTTGTCACCGTGAGCGACTTCCGCTTTACGGGACGCCTGCTGGGAAAGGGAAACTTTGCCCGAGTCGAAGAAGCCGTCCATAATGTCCTCAATGTCAAGGTATGTTCTTGTTCTTATTCTGCTTTTAGCTATATTATTATTTTCATTAATGGGATGAGCTATGGGGAAAAGCTCCTCTTAATTTTATGTATTATATTATTTATATAGAACATAATTTCAAGCGCGGAACTTTACCAATATGAGAATTTTTGTGATGAATTGGTTGTTTTGGCGTTTGGGAAATATTGGGGATTAGAATAAATAATAGCGCTATTGTACTGAGCTCGATAAAAGCTATAATAGCCTCACGTAAATTATAACAGCAAAATTAAATAGACTGTTGACATTGTATGAATATAGGGCTGTTAAAATACGGGTTCATTTTTATATTAAATAGCTTTATAACATGCTATTGTTAAATTACTGTGCATTACCCGATCCACATCGGTTTAGTTTAGGCTTCTTTTACATTTCATAGTTCAATAACGATTGTTCTTTAGGCGGAAATGTTTTTATATCCTTAAGGTAAATTATGTCTTTATTTATTGCTAATACCTTTATTATCTAGCAAAAAGAATAAAACTTTATGCAAAACTATAACACACTTTTTGAAAATTTATTGGAAAGCAGGTTTTAACGTCAAATTTGACTTATCAAAATCTCCAAAATGTCAAAATTACGTGAATACAGTTTTGTAAAATTTGCAATTCGTGCCATAATAGCAATAATAGAAAGTCAATCAAATGTTTTTTCTTTTCTTGAGACAAAAAGACCAATCATTAACTGAGAAATTTCTGATGTAAAAGAAAATGTTTTGTGACATTGACGACCAAAATGTACAGGTGCGCCAGAACTCGCGCCAAAGAGAGAAATGCCATATAAGGTAAGATACCAGGAACATGGAAAAAATGTAAAAAATTTTTTATCTATAATAATTTCAAAGTTATGAGGGTTTAAAATCTACACTTTGACTTTATTTATTTCTGTTGGAAAAATAATTTTCCAAGTTTTTTTGCTATAGGTTATTAAAAAAGGAAACAAGGAATGTATTCTAAATTGTAAATCTGTTCAATGTTATTTGTGGCTTTTATTAGGAACATTTTTGTACTTTTACTAAATAATACATAAATATACATAATACATACATAAATATTGTAACCGAGAAAAAAACTCACACAATTGTTATTATTAAAAATGTTATTCAACTTCAAAATATTGGTACACGGTTTGAGAGTCACTGGAATTTTTTCCTTGTTCAGATAAAATTGTATTGTTGTAACAAATAAAAAATCGTATCCATGACAAAGAAAGAGAAAAGTCACTTCATAGATTTGACACGGTCATCATTTGACACGGTCAATATTTGACAGATAGAATTTTTTAAACATTTTTTCCATGTTCCTGGTATCTTTTCTTACTTGGAATTTTTCTCTGGGGTGCGATTTCTGGCGCACCTGTATACACAATAATTGAATAAAAGTCTAAAAATCACAACTACACGTAAGCACTTGGAACGATGTCACCATCAATTTTTTTTTTTCTATTAGAAGTGTCACCAACCGCCAAAATTTTGGTTTTTGGACGCTAAACTATACATAGATAGACTGAATTCACTAATCTAAGAAACCATAGCATGATGACTTACTTTGATTTCTAATTTAAAAAAAATAACATATTTAATTTAGCATTTAGTGATTGTTGGTTTCAGAAGTACCCTTTTCGTGAATAATACTGTATTTTTATTAGCTATTATTAGTATCAAAATTTGTAAGTAGTCTATATGGTGCCAAATGTTGTTATCTTTATTAGGTCAAATTTCTAACAAGTAATAAAATTCAAATTTAAAACTGGAGAACAAAGGGAATCATTTGTTTATAAAATAGTTTAGTCAGATTGTGTCCTCATTTTTGAGTCTTGAATTTGTAATTTTATTTAGACGTGGCGCATATACAAATAATATAAATGCAAAATAGGACATCTATAAAAGAAAAATGTCAATAAAAGTGCCATTACATGGTTCCAGTGTCATATTGTTCCACTATAACACAAATTGTATTGTCTACCATACTATGTTAGCACGACGTTTCCATTTTCTAAATAATTTTAGGTGAAGATAAAGTAGGAAAATTATCGCAACGTTCAATGTTATTGTTACTGAAATTATTTGCGGTTATTAGTGCGGACCTATTCGGAAAATTTCATTTTTGTGTTTTGCAATATAGTCCCTGTGCATTTCGTACACCATCTTGATGAGAAAGGGAGAATAATTCCCGCGCTACACCAACATTTTATGAACACATTGAAAGCATTGTTTCATAACAAACGATGCCACATATTTTCAGATAGATAAATGCTGTCTCTGGTCAGATCAGGCGGCGTTTTATTATATTTGATGGGGAGACGAAAGAGGCTTATCACTCTTGGGGGTGATCTCGTTTCCTTACTTAACAGAAAGACCAGTTCAATATTTGACGCGCCTAGCACTCTATAAATCTTAATGACCTTCTTTGCCCAAGAAGAATCGAAAAGTATTTTTCTAATACATCTTTACAGTTTGTATATTTATAGTGATGATGTCCGAGTAATTGATCAGGATATGCAGGTCATGCATCATGATTGCACATTACAGGGCTCTACATAATTACGTACAGTTGGCTGAACATTGATGGGGGCTCTTCAATAATCCCGGAGTTAGTTATAAGTAGAGGGTTGGAGTAGATGATAATACCTGATATTGATAATTAAAATGTCTTAATTTTTATTAGGAGGGCCCCATGATTTATGTTCGACACACCTGGCACGATTCCTTTTTAAGTTTGTTTACAAACAATTTGTAAAATTGGAAATTATTTGCACAAGTTTACATAAATGTTTGTAAAGAATCAATAAACAATTTTTGTGCAAATATATTAAAGTATTGTTCTTTGTTAAAAGTAATGTTTAGTAGTATTTTAAAAATACAGGTGTTACAAACTCTCATTGTGTTACTATGTACGACTATAACAATGCGAGGTTGTAACACATTTTTTTTTCTATTGGGCGCTTTTAAAATGAATTTATTATTTTATCCGAAAACGTCAGAAAAATGACGCTTTTTAAATAAAGTTTTACCTTTCCGACATGGGATAAAAACACTGTTTTTTTGTTTAAGTGTTTTTCACTTTTACCTGAAATTTACTATGACATTTACCAATGTTGTCTCTTCCGCTATTTCAGCTTTTTTTGGAGAAGTACAGTGTAGATTATCAGCATTCGACATTTTACACTATAAACCACACTAGTTAAATCAATCAACATTTTCGAAAATCTCAACACAAATTCCGGAACTGACCGTGACGTTTGTTATGATTTCATTATAAAGCGTCCTGATTATTTTTGTCATTTACTTGATAATTGTAGTGTTGCTCTTTTCTTTTTTCTAAAAAAAAAACAGCGTTAAAAATTACAAAGTTGCATTTTGTGCAACTGTCTTAAGCCTTATTACTTATTAGTATATAAAGTCTGTTTTTTTTCTAAATGGAAATGCCAAACAGTCTTAACATTGGCACCGCTAGTAAATTCATTCATGGTAATTTCAATAAAGGAAGTTGGCAGTTGCGGTTTTTTGAATTAATTTGAAAACATTGTCATTTAACGTCAACACAAAAAATCGTCTTAGAAAATCTAGAGACAAAACAGTTTTTAGAAATTTGGAAACGAATACTTCGCAAGCAGAAAGTTAGAAAAATGGCCCGTTAAAATATAGACGCAATTTGTAATGCCAGGTTTGCTAAACATTCTCGATTTTTAGCAAAAAAATGACAAACTAAACATGAATGAGAAAGAACCGTGGAAAGAACGCAATTAAATTAGTGTCTTGTGCATCGTTTTTGAGGAACGAGTTGAAAAAGTAACAATTTTGAAATTAAAGCTGAAGAAGAATTTATAAAATGCATCAACTCATAATTTTTTAACAAAATTTCTAGAGACAAAAACAAACAGCAAACAAAATTTGTGGCTATGGAGACCAATGCTACCAATTTTTTCACCAAAATTTTGACTTGGTAATTTCCATTTAAAACTTTATTTGTAATGTTAAGAAAACGAGGCTTTCGTCCACAAATGACAGTACTCTAAATGGCATTTTTTTATATCATAAAATTCTTTTTTATCATTAATATTCTTTATTAATTATTTTTACAAGTCACAACATCTTTATTTATTAAAAAAAAAACAGTTGACTGTCGTTATTTTGACACATACAGGGCGTTCCGTTTTTATTTTTAAAAATTTAAACAGGTGATAGAATATTCAATTTTAAAATAAATGTTTTTCCAATATTTCAGAAACCATTACAAATTACAATATTTGGTACAACTGACAGATAATCTTTATACACCCAAACGAATCAAAAAAAATGTCGAAATTATTACTCAAGAGCGTCTGGGAAGGTTTAGGGTAAAAAGTATCCCAACTATGTTGACTGTTGGTTCTTGCAACTTTCAGCCACAAAATTATAAATTTCCTAGTTTCTAACAAAAAGAGGTCTCTTGCGTTGTTTCGATACAACGTACCGTTTTTGAGTAAAATCAGTTTACAATATGTGTTACAGACCATATAAAGAGAATACAAATTAAAAACTAAATTCGTTTTATCGTTTAAAACGCCTGTGATTAAAATTTTCGACAACTGATCTTTGAGTTCGTTCTGGTAATGCTTTCAGCATTTTTTGATACATGTTTATAGTAAACTTAAAATTGCATATTGTATCACCTGTTTAAATTTGTAACAATAAGAACGGAACATCCTGTATATTTTATGGGGCATATTATTTGAAATTACCAAGTTAGAAAGATGCGACAAGGAACCTGGAACACCCGGTATATTTTCAAGTTTAGAAAGTGTTTCAGAAATGAGTTACAATCTTATGTTTTTTTTATCAAATATTTTTTAGTTTTGCATGTAGGTTGTAATCTCTGTTTTTAAGGGGCTTGTCTCAAAATTCGGGTGTAGGGAGAAATCAGTGTAAAAGTTTCTGTACATAACTCACAAATGCTTCAACATTTTTTTAACTTAATGTT